ATAATATATAATTTATTTATTTATTATAAATGAAAATTAAGCCGAAATGTTCAAACTTACATATTAAAAATAAATTTTGTTCATTAATTTATATTACGCACTAAAATCCACATCGAATTCTCATCTTTTTAACTAATTATTGTAAATGAGTTAATTAAATCAAATAAATGAAAATTTGTAGAAGAGAAAAATACATTATGTATCGATATTTCTATTGAATTGAAACAAAAGTTTATAGCGTTACTTTCAAATTCAAGTTGTAATTTTGTTAATGAATGAAATTTAATTTAAAGTAGATATATAAGATAAATCAGCATAAGAAATAAAATAAGGATAAAATTTAAATATAAAAAAGGATTTTAAAGCTTAAGCTCTCTTCTTTCAAAAGATTATGTAATAATTACATCTTTTGTTTTTATAAGTTCGGAAATTTTTATATAGGTATAGAAAACACACTACGAACAAAATAGGAAATTTTTTGGTCATTTTGTGAACCGGTCACGTATCTAAAGAATATTTGCAAAAATCTTCGACTTTCTAACGAAAGAGCTTAAAGTTTTCCCTAAAATAAAACCTTTTTTTGGTACTGAATTGTCGCGGATCAAGTAAAAGTAACATTTTGATTTTGATTGTTCATAACTTCGTAAAAATCATTACGTACTGCAATTAAAAAAACAGATTCTTAAAGTTATATCGAATGTTATAATTGCCAAATTTTTTTTTAAAGCATAGATGTGATATAAATAAAATAGAACTTTCGTTTTAATCCAATATAATCTATATCTCATTATTATTTCAAATTAATGCGGAAGAGTTAACATTTTTACTATCTTTATGTGATACTTACTATTTCTTAACAATACCTAACGGATAATGATGCGAGAAAAAGAAGCTGGTCTTGGGGTTCAGAATGGCAGAGAGATTATAATTGCTAATAAACCTGCTTCTTATTTTCTTGTTCTTTGTTTGCTGTTGACGGACTCAGCAATTAAATAAGAGTGTTACTAAAAAATTAACATACTTGACCTCATAATAGATTGCTCTTAGAGACATTATTAAATTTCAACAATAGTACTTCAACGATAATACTTAAAAAAGTGAAACTGTAAAGTCGCGAATGTAGTAACCTCGCGATACTCGAATATGATATAATAGTCAATCATTTTTAGGAAGTCGTTC